CACAGTAATTCAGCGTCATGAAGCGCGGGGCCGCGGGCTGGGGCAGGGCGGGGCCCCCAGCCCCTACCGCACCTGTAGGCAATCAGGACGAGACAGCCCTTGGACTCCAGGAGCAGGTTCTGCCAGGGCCCTCAAAGGGCTCGCGGAGTTGAGGGCACGGGGAGAGGGTGAGAGCCCAGGTGCCCGACAGGAGCCCCAGCCCGGCAATGCCCAGAAAGTGGCGGCTGCAGCGCTGCCCTGGCTCCGGGCTTGAGCATCGACCTGAGATCCAGGAGATCCAGGTTTGATTCCCCCGTTCAGGGAACACGCCCAGGTTGCCGGCTGGATCCTCAGCTGGGGGCTGCAGGAGGCAGCAGATCAATGACTGTCATTGATGTTTCTTTCTCTCTCCCCCTCTAAAATCAATAAAAATATATATATATTTTAAAAGTTGCACCTGTAGGTAGGTGGTGGGCGTTGGCCTGCTTGCCCAACCTGCCCTATGGTCCCTGCAAGGCCAGATGACTTGGGTCACTGGATTGCCTGGCCAAAAGCAGGCCCCTAGGTGAACTCCTCTCTGGATAGTGAGGAGCAGTGTGAGTCTGCTGGCAAAGACCTGGGTTCTCACAGCTCTACAGCTCACAAGGATCTGGGACTAATAGTCGGAGTCAGATGGACCCAAGTTAGGCCAGTCATTGCTCTAAGAGTCCCAGAGATCTCAGAGATCTTATGCTGCCCAAAGGATGGGAGAGAAAAATGCATACATGCGCACATACTCACACCAGCATTATGACATCCAAAGTCACCCCACTGCACTGGTGGCCAAAAGAGAACATCTCTCTCACCCTCCATGTGCAGTTATTAACTGTTGTTACATCTCTTCAGATATATAGATATCTATGTTGTTATTCTACAAACTCTGATAGACACACAAACACAAAAACTGAAAATATTTTTCAGTCCCCAGACCTGGCCCTACAGGGCCTCCACCAGTCACCCTATCTTCTGTGACCTGTAACATGTTACAATACTTCAGCACAGTTGCTAGATGACATAAAGGGTAGTTGTGACACTTGATTCAAAAGCCATGGGTTTTCATCGTGAAAATCAATAGTAGTCAACTGTCTTGATTGGCTCCAGTGTTCTAGAGCTACACTCTGTGTATGAAGAGGGCACAGAACTCACCTTCTGGAATGCTGCTGTGAGCTAGACTCTTAAATGTCCCCGACCTGTAGGACACTGGATTCTGACTGCCTGTTGCTGTGTGCTCTGGGTCCACCTCTAGAACAATGCCATGCCTGCTCTAACAAGAACCCTGTATACAAAGTGTGCTTGAAGCATCTCAAGGAACTGAGTACAGAAGCTCCATGACTCTTGCAGACCAGACTATCTGACTGTCACCGTCCCTGCATCTGTCTAAACCACCTGGGTAGGACAGAATTAGGTCTGAAACTGGCTTTCATCTAGCCAGGCAGCCTACGCGTAGGGTTGGAAACCTACAGCCATCACCTAAATATGGGGTGGCTGATATTTCACAAGAAATCAATAACAGGGTATGACCTAATTGATCTAGGTCAGTTTCAATACCTAAACCCTACGCATGTGCTCATACATACCCTCTGCAAGATCCACACACCCCTCTGCCCTGGCAATCTGATATAAACACGGGGCACATTTCTCACACACAGCACACATGCTTGCTTGTCTGGCAGAAATCCTTGCTCATACTTGTGCTCTTGCACTCAGACTGGGTAAGTCAAGAATGAGCTAAGCCACTGTAGAAATGAACTCATCGTCTGTATTTCCATCTCCATCCCCCTTTCCTGGGGAGCACTAAGCAAGGAACAGCCCACCACGACCCTCCCAGAAGCCCAGCCTTACAGAAGCTGGGGAACAATTAGCCAGGGTGATAGCCACCAGGACTCAGGCTGAGCTGGTTTTGGCACCAGGGTCCTCCGCTGTTAGCATACATTTGGCAGGTTCCAGAAACAATCTGTCAGGTGCATGTTTGTGCTCTGGGTTTCCATGCTGGTGTTAGTTGCATCTGTAAAATTGTGAGTACTCTCATGTTTCAAAATTCCAAAACCTTTTGTTTCCTTACCCAGGGAGACTGTACTTTGGCACTTGAGAGGGGTTTAGGCATCTGTGAGAACATGTGGCTGTCACTGTGGCCAAGGATGTACATACATATCACTCTGTATCATCAGTTTATGGATGTTAGAGGGTAGCCATGCCTATATATTGTCCGGGGCTTTTCCCTCGTGTACAGGTCAAGGGTCTCTTTCCAGTTCTGGCCCAGAATGTCCTTTGAGCTAGCACAGTGCTCCTCCCTGAGTAGATGATTTGATTAGGCCAGCTGGATTCAGGTCTCTGAAGGCAGAGCTGGCTGCTGACAAGAAGGCAAAACAGAAGTGATCATGAACCTGGCTGGCCTGGCCCCAAATGTGCCCCTTGCAACTGAGGACAACACAGGGCCAGGGTGTGGTGTTGTTCCAAGGAGCCAGAGGCTCTGCTGAGTCTGAGCAGTAAGCCCCAGTAAGAGGAAGCACCCGTGAACAGCTGGGCTCCCATCCTCACCCGCCTCTACCTCCTCAGAGCTGGTGCCAAGTCCACATGCCAGGAACAAACAGGTAGGGGACAGGCCCTGGGGGTCCCAGGCCTCTCTTCCTCTGCTCAGTTGAACACAGAGCCCCTTTCAGTCTCCTGCTTCTGAGGCTTAGTCTCCAGAAGCCTCTCTAAGGCAGCCTGGGGCAAGAAGAGTGAAGGGCAGATGCAAGTGACCAGGAAGCTCCGAGGGAGAACGTCCCTTCCCAAGGGCAGCCAGGAGAAGGCGGTCACCTTTGCCTGACCCACTGCCTCTGGGACCCTGCAATGTCTCTCAAGGCCAGATTCGCAAGTAGGTGCCAGTGGAGCAGACAGAGAAAAGGGGGAACACACGCTCTTGGAAGTTGACACGGAAGGTGTAGAGGTGGCGCATGTCCTCCGTCGCGTAGAAGGACACGGCCCCCACCTCCAGGTCCAGCGCCACCCTCACGCGGGACAGGTGGCCACAGCTGAGGGGTGTCCGCTCAGGGCTGGTCACGGCCCAGTACTGCCCGTTGTTGAGCTGCAGCGCCCAGACACCCTCCTCGGGGGTGAAGGGCGTGAGGCCCTTGCGGCGCACACTCTCTCGGGCCACGCCGAAGGCCCAGCCATCCTGGGGGCCCACTTCCACCTCCCAGTGGTGCCGCCCAGACGAAAAGCCACAGGACGCCAGGACTCTTGTGTTGGTATCGAAGCGATGCGGGTGGTTGGGCACGTCCTGGGCCCGCTGTCCAAGACGGACGCTCTTAAGATCCAGAGAGAGGATGAGGCGGGGGTTGGCCGTGTTGGGGTCCAAGGTCAGTTCCACTGCAGTGGGGAGGCAGGGAGAGACAGCCCATGCAGGCTCCTTGCACAGCTCCCACCCCTAATTCCTGCCCCACCCCAACAAGTACATGCTGAAATCAAACTGTCAAACACTTAGATACCAGAAAGAATCATCAATTTTTCTAATTATGATGATGGTTTTGTGGTTGTTTTTTCCCTCTTTAGCCCTGGCCGGTGTGACTCAGTCAGTTGAGTGTCCTCCTGTGCACCAAGAGGTCAGGGCACATGCCCGGGTTGTGGGCTCCTGCAGGAGGCAGCCCATGGAGATGTCTCTCTCTTTCTCTCTAAAAACAATATAAACTTTTTTTTTTAAAGCCTATCTCTTTAGAGATCAAATACTGGGATATTTATGGAAATGATACTCTCTGTGATTTGCTTCCAAATAATCCAGTGGGAAGGCAGGCTGGCCAGCTGGCACAGTGGTTGAGGTCGACCCACGAACCAGGAGGTCACTGTTGGATTCCTGGGGGTTTGGGGCTCAATCTCCATGCAAGAGGCAACGACTCTCTCATCATTGATGTTCCTACCTCTCCTTTTCCTTTCCTCTCTCTGAAATCAATAAAAACATTTTTTATTAAAAAAATAATAATCCAGTGGGAAGAAATGGAGAGAGGTGTTAGTGATCATTGCTGAGGGTGTATGGTGAGCACATAATCCTCTACTTTAGTATATGTTTGAAATTTTCCATAATAAAAAGCTCGAATATGCACACTTGTAAGTACTACCGTGTTCCAGGCCTGTGCTAGGCCCTGGGAATCCCAGCCCTCCTCCAACTTCCTTTCTTGGGGGGTAGGAGAGACAATAAAAGAAACAAACAAACAAAAAACAGAAGAGGAATTGGGACAGCAGACTGTGATTTCAACTAGAGGAGCCAGGGAAGTCCTCACTGAAAAGGTACATTTAAGCAAAGATATGCAGGTGAAGAAACCAGATAGGCGGCTGTCTGGTGAAGCATGTTCCAGGCCCAGGTAAGTGTGTGCTTGGCACATTCCAGGAGCAGCCGAGAGTGCACAGGGAAAGAGTACGCAGTAAGGCCAGGTCCCCTGGGGCCTGGAAGATCCCTTTGAGAACTCCAGCCTTTACTGAGCGACAGGGGCCAATGCAGGGTTCTGGGCAGAGAAGGGGCATAGTCTGACTCAGCTGGTTTGGGTTCTTTCCATGCAAAGTCTGACTTAGCCCTCCCCTCCCCGTGGGGTTGGATCCCACTCACCCCAGAGCTCTGCAGGAGAGAGAACCTCCTGCCTTGTCCTCAGTTTCCTCCTGTTTCCCCTCACCCCCGCACACAACTCCAGTCCCCAGAAGAGGTCTCAGTAAGTTTGGGAATGGGGACAGGGGAGAGAAAGGCTTGTTTAGGTGACCGACAAGCCTTCCCCAACCTAAGTATCCTGAGGGGCAGGGCACTCCTCCTCTGGACCATATGCCTACAGACCCCACTGTGGCCTGAGGGAGTCAGCGCTGTGAGGTGAGGTATGGACACGGGGGAAAGGGGAGTAGGTGGAGAGTCCCTGAGGTGGGCGGACAGAAGGAACCAACCACACACAAAGCCCAGAGAGACAGGTGCCAGCAGGGAGTGAATTCTCTGTGTGGCCAGATAACAAGCACTCACTATCATCACCACAGCTATTGTACCTTTCTCTTCTTTCTCCAGCTCTCCACGAAGATCCTCTGAGGAGGGGAAACAAAGCAGGGTGTGCATGAATGACACAGGAGACAGTCTGACAATGACAGCGATACCACGTCCTCTGACACTGATGGCCCCCTGGCTCACTCACTCCCCAGAGAGGCCAGAGGCACCGCCTGCAGTATTCTGGCTTTCCCGGTCCAGCTTCCCCCCCTTTTGCCTGGAGCTGGTCAGAGCTGAGATCTTCTTCATCCCTCTTTCTGCCCTCATTGCCCCCCTATCCCATCTGTCCCCAGGGGAAGCTTTGTGCCCTGAGGGGCTGGAATAAATCAGTCACCACACACCCCAGCTCTGGTTTTCTCACACAGCTTCTGGAAAGGCACATCTTTGGACCCCAAATCACCAAAACCACCACTGCCACTGGCATCTCCCAGCCCCGCCCCACACATGGGCCCTACCTTTGAACTTCTTGAGCAGCCCCTTTAAGACAAAGGTCTTGAGGGAAACATTCCAGACTTTATTCTTCATCTCAGAAGAGACTGTGCTTGGCTTGGGGGCAGGCACATTGCTGCACCTGCATGACAAGGAGGAAGGCCCACCAACACTGTCCCACTCCCGCAGTTAGGAAAGTGACACCCTCTTGGTGGGGAGGGGTAGGAAAAGGAGAGCCTGCCTTCGTGCCGATTCCCACAGCCAGGCACAGGGACTTCTGCCTCAGAAGGTACCGGGATAAGGCAGTGGGGACTGGGAGGAGAGCGGCTGGGGGCTGGGAACAAAGAGAGCACGCAGTGGAAACGAAGAGCCAGCTAAGAGGGGCCCAGGGCACTGTCAGGTCCACTCACCTGCTTAGTGTGCTTTTGAATTCCTGGGAAGGAAGAAGAAAGAAAAGATCAACGTCAGGTAACCTCCATTTGCCTTTGAAAAAATAGAACTGGCCCCTTCCCTGCTTCCAGAGGGATAGGCAAGAGGCAGGTGCCACAGCCCACTGCCTGCGTGGGCCGGGGTGCCAAGGGCTTCCCCCTGGGGCAGGCAGCTGGGCGTCTCATCGACCTGGTGGGTCCCGTGGCCCTGCCCACAGCTCCGAAATGCTCCCATCATGACAGAATCATCACTGGCACCATGTGCTGGAGCCCAGTGTTGCCTCTGCTCTCGGCACCACCAAGACAAGTCACAGCCTTTATGCAGCGACTTCGGTGTCTTTCTTTTTTAAAATCCTCACCTGAGGATATTTTTTTCCCAGAGTGGAAGGAGGAGACAGAGAGAGAGAGAAAGAGAAGAAACGTTGATGTGAGAGAGACACATCAATTGGTTGCCTCCCACACGAGCCTCGTGGGGATCAAGCCTACAACTGGGGTACTTTTGTCCAGAATCGAACCCAGGACCCTTCAGTCTACGGGCTCGACGCTTTAACCACTGAGTCAAATCAGCTAGGGCTGGACCAGTGTCTTTTAAATGACTGTTTTTGAACCATTTGCAACTTGTGAAGTTTATTTAGTAGACTGTGACTATTTTTTTTAATGATATAAAATAGAAAACATCTAAGTGCATCACATTAGTAAAGGTGTTATTTCCTGAGATTCTAGTCTCAAGTGTGTACATACTAAAATATAACGTAAGATATATTACTGTTATTTACTGTCAGGAAAGTTTTATCATATCCCTTTAGACCTCTAACCCCAGGAAAATCAAGGCACCTCTCTCCAGTTCCCTTTGGCTCCAGATTGTGCGAGTCTACTAAACTCACAGGATCTGACTCTGTTCTCACTGCCTTTGATGCCTTAAGATAAATGACTCAAAGCCCTGGGGAGCCAGACTCACCTGGAGAAAGTCAAGGTCAGGCTTGCCAGCTGTCTCCTGGATCTGGCTGGTGAGCTTGGATAGCTGGGCGATCTCGCCCCCGAGCTGGGCTAGATTCTCATTCTGCTTTTGTGTTACCTCCCGGGACAGCTCCTCCAGGCGGCCCAGGAGCCGGCCCTCCTGCTCCACTAGGAAGGCCCGCAGTGCCTGAAACTCTGCCCCCACCTTCTCTCGCTCAGCTGCCATCTGCTTCTGTCTCAGGAGAGGAGAAGTTGCAGAGATAAGGGACATGAGCAAGACTTGGCCTTTGGACAGGAGCTTTGCGTCATCCCACAGGGCAGGGTTCCATCCGCCTCACTGCTCAGGGGTCAGGGGCTCACCCACACACGCACACCCTGCACAGTTTCTAATTTCATATCCCAACTCTAAAGGCACAGCAGCTTCAACTCATGCTCTCGATTCCCGTTAAAGATGTGCCCATGTGTCTCTTTGTACCTGGGCTCTCCAACCAACGTAGGGCAACTTCGAACTCTCCCAAACTACTCAGGGCTGCAGTTTCCTTAATGAAAAGTGGGAAGGATAAGTTAGTGCCTCCTGGGGTCACTCTAAATATTAACCTGGAGTCACTCTTTCTTCCCTAAACACATTTATTATATGTTGCATACAAGAAAACAGGGCCAAAATGGAGTCGCTTATGCTAAGCCCCACCTCACTAAACAGATTTCATTCAAGTTTCAGCTATCCCAGAAAAGGAATCTTAAGCCAGCCAACCGGGAATTGCCTCTGTTCCGTAACCTGCCATCCCCTGTAGGGGATGCCATAACCAACCCGGGCTTTTCGCCTTCTGAAACTTCCTTGTTCCCGCTACGTCTGCTTATAAAATCTCTTGCCTCTGTACCAGGGGCTCCTGTCTATCTGCTGGATTAGATGCTGACCACTCCATCAATCACTGAACAAAGCCAGGAAGACCTTTAAAAGATACTCAGTTGAATTTTGTTTTCTAACATTCATCACCCTTCCAACGTTCACTCCTCACTTTACTCCTCATTTTAAAGTTTTTAAAAATTGATTTCAGAGAGAGAGAGAAGGGGAAGAGAAAAACAGTGATTTGTTGTTCTACCTATTTTGGTTGATTCTTGTATGTGCCCTGACTGGGGATGAACCCACAGCCATGGTGTATCGGGACAATGCTCTAACTAAAAACTAACTGAGCTGCCCAGCCAAGGCCTTTACTTCCTTTTAAAGAGCACCATTTCTATTTAGCAATTATGAAGGTAACACATGCTCATGATACAAAATCTGGGAGTTACAGAAAAGAAAGAAGGAAGGAAAATCAATGCCAGTGTCCAGAGGTAGCAGCACACCTACATGCCCCAAGTGAGGATGTGCTGTGTGTGCAGGCTTCATACTCTGCTATTTCCATGACCATTACCCATAGGATTTTCACTCCTCTGTTTCCAGACACAGGCTCATGCTACTGATCCTCTGGATTCTTTACATGAATACGTGGAAGGGACTGCACATGACATAACAAGCAAGGCCTCTCATGGCTAATGAGAAGTGAGAAGGATTCCATTCCTCCAGGACAAGCTGGACAGTCACAGGTCCTCTTCTTTAAAAACCCCTAAGGGAGGATGCCTGGCCGGTGCTGCTCAGTGGTTAGCACATCGGCCCAAGAACCAAAGATACGTGGGTTTGATTCCTGGTGAAAGGCACACACCTGGGTTGCAGGTTCAATCCCGGCCCTCAGGTGAGGAATGGCTGGAACAGGGGACTGTGAGTGGGTTTTGAATTCAGGAGATGGCTCCCCCAGGACCTCCAGGACACTGGGCAAGCAGGAAGCTGCACCATGGGGCCCTTTACAGGTGTAAACTCACTCAACACTGACAACAACCCAATGATGTGGGTGCATTCTTTTTACAAATGAGGAGAGAGACAGAGAAGCATGTCACCAGTTAAGTGGGGAGCCAGGATTCTAACCCAGGGAGTCTGACACCAAAATTTGAATTTCTTACAATTATAGCATATGGCCACCCAAGGAAATAACACAAGTGGAACAATATTAGTCAAAATGCTCTAAATCAGGGTTTACCAACATCTGTGCTATTTTCATTTGGGACCAGATAATTCTTTGTTGTGGAGGGCTGTCCTGTGCATTGCAGGATGCTTCATCAGCACCTTGGCCTCAGCCACTAAATCCCAGCAGCACCCCTGCCCCAGTGTTGACAACAAGAAATATCTCCAGACGTTGCCAAATGTCCCCTGGGGGCCAAAATTGTCCCTGTTGAGAAGCACTCATAAATGGTAAGAGCATTTTCGAATAGAAGTATTCATTCTCTTTGTTACCATGCAGCAAGAGTTGTTCTCTACCTCTATTGTTTTATTAAGCAGGTAGTATTTTATAATTCTAAAGAATGTGTGGGCTAGAGGGGTGGTGGATTGGTAGGGGGCAGAGTGGAAGGTGCTAAGTAGTGTCATGGTGGGTGGAGTCAGAGATCATGAAGCTGCCCACGATATGGGAGGCCCTCTGGGTCATAAATGGAAGAGCCACAAGCTTACTCCTTTCTCCAGAAGAGGAGGGTAGGGGTCTGGAAATGAGGATTGAGCTCTTCCTTGGGAAGGGAAGTAAATGATCAGATGGGAAGTGTGGGGTGCACACTGGAGGCAGGTGCACCAGGTACAGTTGAGGGTCAGGAACGGGGCATCTGAACTCAGGGTCTTCCCCTCCCCACCTTGAGGATAGGAGGGTTCTCAAGTTCCTCTTCCTTCAATTTCCAACTCCAGAACTGAATGGCCCTGTTCTAACAGATCCTCGTAGATCCTTTCATTCTTTTAACACCTATTTATTGAGCTAAGAACTGAGTTTGCAAGGTAGAAAATTACAGTGCATGACCCATGTTGCCCACCTTAATCAAAACCAGCCCCATTTCACTTTCCTGTTCCACTGTAAAGAATTCAAAATATAATTCCTGCCCACCAGGGAGCAATGGGCACACTGGGCTGTGCAGCAGGGGCTGCTGGAAACTGGTCACCAGACCTCCAGCCCTTAGCAGCTTTGACTGCCAGTGAGCCCCCTTCCCCTTAGCCTAATTTCAAAACCTAAAAATCTCTAAGAATGAAAAAAAAGTTTTTTGCCTTTGGTGGCAAAAATGCCCTTGGCTAACATGAGGCTGTTTACTGTATTTATGTTTTCACATAGTATGAGTATTCATGTCTCTCTGCAGAAACACTACTGCATTCAATTAGGAGATGCTCCACAGCCCTAATTGGGGTGTTATATAATATTAAAATGACTTTACATCCTGATTCACTGGGACAGTTCCAGTAAGCCAGCTGTTCTAGAAGGATAATTTTAGTACTTCTTTTCACTTTCAAAAGCTCTGGTTATATAATAAAGTATAGGGTCACTTTTTTTTTTTTTCTTTTGAATGGGTTACTTTATTTATTTATCTTTGTTTTTAAAATATTAATTGAAATTTCAAGTAGTAACTCTTAATGACCAAGACTGGAGCAAAATTAATATGACAGTAATGGATTTTACCCCTTAGAATACAGCCTATTCATGAGTCCACACTCATACACACTATCAAACGAGAAATACATTCAAGCTGTGCATTTCCCCAAAAAGTAGCATTTGGCCACATCTCTTAGGTTTTCCTATATAAAGATCTCTTAATGTGCTGGCTGGCCTGGCTCAGTGGTTGAGTGTCAACCCATGAACCAAGAGGTCCCCAGTTTGGATTCCCTCTAGATCCCCAGTAGGGGGCGAGCAGGAGGCAGCCGACTGATGTCACTCATTGATGTTTCTATCTCTCTATCCCTCTTCCTTCCTCTCTCTCTAAAATCAATAAAAACATATTTTTAAAAATATCTCTTAATGTTATTTAGTTTCTTAAAGTTCTTCACTTAAGTCATGTAACGCTTCTTGGGAAAATTGCCTTAAACAAAGAAATAACTGTTTTTATAACTTAAACAGTGTGTGATAATAAACAATGAATAAAATACTGACTCAATCTTTGTGTTTAGACTGGAATGCACCTGTGAGATCTCTGTCCAAGATGCTTTATCTGGCCAAAGAGCCCAAACTGGGCAACTCACCCACCCTCCAGGTCCCCAGCTCTTCAAAAACTTGTAAGCTCATGTCATTCAAACTCAGTGTTGGATAGATTCAGATGTTGCTTTTGATAACTTTTTTCATGTTTCTGGCCTTTATATGAAAACTGTTTTCATTTTCCTCAAGCCCATAACACTCCACAAACTTTCTATTGAAAAGGTAAGCACACTTTGCCAAAAAGTTTTGTTGTGATCTGTTTTTTTAACTTTGTCTAAAGAAAGAATAAAAGAGTGGGAGCCAGGAACACCAGCAGAGCATTCTCGAACAACACAGCAGAAATCCAGAAAGATAATTTCTCAGTCATCCCTAAGATCAGTCACCTTTTATAATATGCATCCTATTATCTTTCTAAAATCCACCCCCGCTGTTCCACAGGTACACACTCCAACACCACACACAAAAACAGCGCCAGGGTACTGGGTGGCCCTCTGCTGTTGGGGGAGGGGGCCTCACCAGGAGCTCCTTGCTCTCCTTCTCTTCGGTGGAACGAAACACCTCATAGTCCTCCAGATCATTCTTCAAGGCCTTCAGCTTGGACTCCAGGAGCTCCTGCAGGAGGGTGAGAAGGGAGACATTACGGGTGCAGGATTCCGGAAACCCCCACCGGTGCCTTCCTGGAGCCACGCAGGAGGACGGGAAGGCCCTGTTCATCGAGGAGGTCGGGGTGAACCACCTCTGGGCAGGATGAATGCAGCCTGCGCCGCCTTCACAAAGGGGGCCGGGCATCCTTAGGGCAACGCCACAAGTCCAAGGACCTCACTTCTCCAGGACCATCAAGCGCACAGATTCCGGCTGAAACACAAGCCCCTCGCACCCCCAGCTGCCCAACCCACCTAGTCTTTTCTGCTCTCCGCCCCACCATCAGAAATCCCTGTGTGTGGAAGGGTTGGAGCAGTGTAGGGAGCAAAGAAAGACGGGACGGTGTGCCTGAGGCCCCCCCCCCACCTCAGCTGGGGCCCCAGCAAGGAGGCAGGAAAGAAAGGAGCCCGAGTCCGCAGCTTTGGCACAGCCCAGATGGCTCTCTCCTTGCTGTACTCAACCCTTCCCCGACCTCTTGGGGCGTTTTCCCACTCGGGGAAAGAGCTGAGAGTGCGGGCAGCGGAGGCGTGGACATGCCCAAGTGGCCGCTAGAGGGCGGGGGCTGAGAGAGAGAAAATCGCCAAGTCGGTGGGACATCGCCCAGGCGGTTCGGGGGCACTGTGGGGGTGACAGAGGGATGGCCACGCTCAGCCCCGGAGCCGGTGCCGAGCAGGAGGGGGGCAGGGGCTCCCCTGAGCCTCCAGGCTGCTGCCTGCCTGCCCTCTGCTCTGCGAGCGGGGACGGGCAGGACGGGGTCGCGGGGTCGCGGGCGCTCACCTTAGCCTCGTGCACGGCTTCTTCAAGCGGCAGCACGGCGTGCGCGCGGTGCTCGCGGGCGCGGTCGCACACC